GCTTTGACCAAGTAGCTCGCGTCAGTTTTGTCAGCAGCTTTGACCAAATAGCTCGCGTCAGTTTAGACTGCAGCTTTGACCAAGTAGCTCGCGCCAGTTTTGTCTGCAGCTTTGACCAAATAGCTCGCGCTTTTTTCTGCAGCTTTGACCAAATAGCTCGCGCCAGTTTTGTCTTTCATGCACCAACTTCCGCACCACCCTGTGCATCCTGTAATAAGATGTAGCATAAGCCAGTGAGATCACTCACCGCTCAACACACCAGCCCGCGCACCTTGCCTTAAACCCGAGAACAGGCCACTGAAATCACGCACCGCTAGACGCACCAACCCCCGCACGAACCCCCGCACCTTACCTTTGCTTTAGAATAAGCCACTGAGATCACGCACCGCTAGACGCACCAACCCCCACACCTTACTTTTGCCTTAGAATAAGCCACTGAGATCACGCACCGCTAGACGCACCAACCCCCGCACCCTACTGTTGCACCCAGAACCCTGGGTGTTTTAAGCATGCCGGGCCCCTGGCAAGTTGTGCTTATGACCTCATCTACTGCCGTTTCTAGAAAAGACAAAAGGAAAGTGGGAGCCACATCTTCCTCAATGCAACAACCTGATTCCTGTACTGTATTTTGGGGGTTCCTTATTATATTCATAGTATAATGGGCCACAAAACCCTATTCTAATTATTAAGGCCGCTATATTACTTTGCTACAAGAGGCCTGTGTTTTTTTGTTTAAAGGATTTAGGGTTTAGGGCTCCAGCGAAAAGCAGAGCGGCAGTGGCGTCATGGCGTTAACACGGCGAGTGCTCTTCACAGCCGGTAACATAGGGGCCTTAGCAATTACCAATACTGTCTTGGGGCTCCTTATTTGGATTATTATAGTATAATATGCCCCAAACCCGAATCTGATTATTAAGGCCCCTGCAGTATACAACATCGGCCTTACAAAGCCAACCTGGCGTCTCCACATTGTAGTTTAGCCAACTTTATATTACAGCATGTAAGGTAGAAGCCAAAAAAGTTGCCAATATCGTTCCCTAGGGTTCCTGGTTATAATTATACTGTAAAAGCCCAAAACTCTATTCTAGTTATAAAGGCCCCTACATTACCTTAACAACGGGTTAGTCTCGAAAAGAACTACACTGGGGACTGTAGCAAAAGCTCAGGTGCCATCCCTACACCCGAAACCCTAAACCCAAACTCCTAAAAGCCAAACCCGAAACCCTAAATCCTACGGTTCGAACGGCCCTCTCCTGGACTTTTGCAGGCCATGCACCCTTCTCCAAGGACACGACCACCTCGAGCTCTGAGGTGATCGCGAAGGGTTTGTGCAATATTCTTGGTTAGGGGTGCTTTGAGGCATAGGGGAGGCTGCGCCTAGGATTAATTCTGGTTCATTTCGGGCTCGGAGTTGGTCGTGAGTCGTGAGGTATTCGGTTTGGGCTCGAGGGCATGGAAACTGCATAGACTACCTTTCACATCTTCGAGGACTTTGAGGTCGATTATCCGAATTCAAACATGACGAGGATTGGCGGCGTCTTGGAGAACCAATTAGGGGAAACCAGCGACGTGGGCGGGGGCGCAGAAGGAACTTTAAAGTACCTGGAGATTCCGCCGCTCGAGGATGGGCGGGACACCTCTACGACCTGGCTGGTTTGGCCGAATGGGATCACCATTGAGGTCGGCACCACGTTCCAGGCCTACCTTCGATTCACACGCGTTTTCAGTTGGGTTTACTTTGCCTTCGACGTTCCCCCGGACGGGAACATGCGAATACTCAGAATTGTAGAACAACCACAAGTTGCAGAAGGACCACGAGATGTGCGGATGACAGAGGACACTATTAGAGGCTTCTTTCCCTTTGGTTTGTTTGATTCTAGAACACTTGCCGTTTCTCAATCCGGTGATTACCGATTCCAATGGTTGAAGTTCCAGGTCACCGTGAAGGAACCAGGGGTGGCCTTTGCAAGACTCTTCGACAACACAAGCACCCCTGTCGTGACCGGCACGCATACGTTCACCAACAATTTGGGTTCTGGACAACAGTCAGCTTTTGAGCTCCATTTTGGTGCTCAAATCGACCAGCTGGCGACGTGCCAGGAGAATCGCTACCCTGATGGGCTCACGGCAAAGGCCATCTCTTCCAGCACCACATGCGGGGCAAGAGTGGATTACAAGATGCCCGTGAGCTGCACCGAAGATGTGAACTACACTTGTTCCTAGGTCCCTGAACTTTAGGGCCCCCTTACTAAACCCGAAGAGTAGGAAAAAGGGTACCCTTATCAAAAAGAGGCTACTCAGGCACCAAGGCTCCCTATCGAGTGGAAGCTTCTTCGAGGCGGGCACTACCCAGGTGCTCTGCTGGGCGAACCACACTTTCGGGAACCTGACACACTCCTTTAACCTCACGCTGGAAGTGGCTGGGTTCTTGTTGAGGATTTAATTTAAGTTAGCATAATAAGGAATCCATATATTATTTACTATAGATCCCTGTTATGGTAACTTGAAAATTAAATCCCTTAACAAGACCCAGGTGGTGGATGACACGCCCCCTGTCTTGGTGAACCTCACTGACATCGCAGTTGACACCTGCGGGGACGTGGCTCAGGTCTCCCACGCTGTTGCCGCCATTGACAATTGTCAAGCTGATGTCGAAGCCACGTGTAACTAGGTAGGCCTTTGAGATATTTTTACATATTCCCTTATTGGGCTTTAGAGGACCCTATTTACTAATATTTTTTCAGAGGCTTTAAAGGGCCAACCAGGTAACTTTCCATCAGGATCTTGGTTCGGCGTTGGAAATACCACCGTGGAGTGCAGGGCCACAGATGCCGCAGGCAACTCCGCTAGTGGCAGCTTCGTCGTAACGGTGACTGGAGACGAGACAGCCCCAAGCCTCAGCCAACTTCCCGACATCAGGAAGACCATTCGTGAGCGCACCGCAAAAGTCACCTTCGACGTGGAGACCTATGACAACTGTACAGGGGGAGTCGTCGCCGTCTGTGCCCCAGCATCAGGTGGCCAATTTGAAGTTGGCTCCACACTCGTGGAGTGCACTGCAACGGACACTGCCGGCAACACGGGCCGCATGAACTTCACGGTGAACCTGACCGGAGGAAGCAACTCGACTCCTCCGCCAATCGGCGATCTCCCGGACATCAATGTGACTGCCGCCGGCTGTGCAGATGGGGCCCAGGTCACCTTTGCAGACGTTGCACCTGGTGTCTACTGCACCCCACCATCAGGATCCTGGTTCCCTCTAGGAAGTACCACGGTGCACTGCAGCGTGACGGATGGTTTTGGCAATTCGAACACCAGCAGCTTCCAGGTCCTTGTGACCCCAAACGCCTCCGCGCCTCCACGCTTTGGCCCCACCCCGGACATTGAGGTCGTGGCTTATGGCACCACTTTTCTAAAGCAGGTGGACTTTCAGGTTTCAGCAACCGGACCTTGCGAGGTGGTCTCTACCACGTGCGTTCCTCCACCAGGCTCTCTCTTCCCCATTGGGAAGACGAAGGTGCAGTGCTCTGCCAAGGACTCGGCCGGCAACGTGGCAAGAACCGACTTCCGGGTCGTGGTACACTACCATTTTTACCATCGTCGCACACGTCGACATCGTTAGGTAGCAGGTAGATTCTACAGCCAAGAAGGCGGAGTCTAGATCACGTCCTTCAAGGGACTGGCCCGTGTCACCGACGAATGCATGATGGTGAAATTCACCGTGAGGACAACTCTCTGTGGTGCTAGCACTCGCCCCGCACGCCCGACAGAAGAAGGCGGGGCCCTGGCTGCTCAGCTTGTCTCCAGGTGCCCCCAATCGACTTTCAGCTCCGGTCCCACCAGTCAGGCGCTTTGTTGCCCTAAACATTCAACCCTTATAGTACTAGTATAGATCCCTTTTAAAGGAGCCCGTTCCCCTAAATCCTCAAGCTTCAAGCCTCAATCCCAGCGCCACGCTCACTTGCTCCGAGGTCAGGTCCGCAGACGATGTCAGCTGATATGATCGGGGAGCTACGTAGGAGAGCTGGAGGTTTAGGGTTGGAGGAAGTACTGCTGGCTTTCCTGGGACTCTAATTACCTAGAGTTTTACGGGTTCCACCTACTCATGAAGGGGTAATGGGGGTTTCCGAACATAGGGGGACCCTAGTATAGCACCCTAAATAGTAGGATCCTTCTTCTAAGGGCCCCAAAATAAGGTACCCCTAATTTTCGGAAAGTCCCTAATGGCCCTAAACCCTAAACCCTAAACCCTAAACCCTAATGGCTGCAAAACTGTAGCGTAACGAGAGTTACAGAAATTACGATGACGATGGTCGCGGGTTCGAGCTTTCGAGCCGAGCTCAGAGAAAAAAGCTTCGGTGTTCTGGGTTAAGGGTTAAGGGGGTTAGGGATTTAGGGTTTAGGGTTTAGGGGTTTAGGGTTTAGGGGTTTAGGGGTTAGGGTTTAGGGTGTGTTCTGGATTGCACATGTCGTGTCTTTTGACGTCGAGCGCGTCCTGTCATTGGACCTTGTGAGGGTAAGCCGACGACCTCTCTGGAAGGGACCTTGCTCAAACCATCTTGTGGCACAGTGCTAGCTTCCTGTGCACCGCAAGACCTCTTGCAGTGGTTTGCCTGAGACCGCTCGTAAGTTCAACTTTCATTGCAAAGGCTGGTGGGATTAGCAGAATCGAAAAGGTCAGAAGACGTCAAGTACACCAAAGCTTGACACTTATCTCTATCATATGTTTCGGTCTCTGTTGGCTATTGTTGGGCTACGCTCAGTGAGGTTGCGTTTGAATCCTGCAAAATCTCCAGGGAAGGAAAGGAAGTCACTTGAAGAAGATGCAACTTGCCCTCTATCCGGTGGCCATGAAACGCACCGCCTGTACGCAACGGCTTCAACATCGATGCACAACTATAGGTGAACGGTACTGGTATACTTCTATCCATACTTCCTTCCTTCATGATTGAATGCTCCATTAGGGTTTAGGGTTTAGGTTGAGAGTCCGAGGAATGAAGGGAAGCTGAGACTTATCAGACCCTTCAGCCGATGTTCAGGGTAGACTCACCCCAAAAAACCCCTAAACACCCTAAAATCTTAGGACCCTGAAACCCTAAACCCTAAGCGCCCTAAACCCTAAAACCTTGAACCCTGAACCCTAAACCAGCATCCCGAGACCTAACCAGTACTGTCCGCTCCGGCTCACAGCTGATTTTCCGCGGCGCCACAACGCCCGCCGCCGATGTCACGTGCGCCCGCAGCTCCATGCAGGCCAGTGGGGTTTCGGCTGAGAGTTTACCCGATTTTTGGGATGTTTAGGGTCTGTATGAGGTCAAACCAAGACAAAATCTCGCACATGAGCTCCATAGTGTCAGCCCTTCGTTTGTAAAGACTTATTGCTATTCAAGGCAGCTTCGAAGTTGCGGGGAGTCTTAGAAAGTGTCAGGATTTGGAGTCTTCTACAGACACTCTTGTTCGGGGTTTGTGGGGTTTAGGGGTTTAGGCACTTCAAGGAGGATTTAGGGTGATTTAGAGAGCAAGGGCGGTGTCTCGCACGACTTTGTAAAATCAGTGCTCGAGTACTGCGAACAAAAACAAGGCTGGGTTGTATTTAGGGTGTAGGGTTTACTGTTTGGGGTTCTCGGGGAGGGTGAGTTGAATTACTACGGTACAGGTTTCCCCCCAGACCCTACGATGTTTCTCAGAGATGATGATGACGACGATGCATGTGCAGAAGAAGATGATGGTGATGTGTTGAGGATGCTCATGTTCGACGACGTTGATGCTCATGTGGAATTCGATGGTGCTAATGATGAGAAGACGATGCTGCTGGTATTTTTGATTTCTTTTTTTGTGTATATATACATATGGTCAGAAGGAAGATGACAATGTGTCAGCATCGTTTGAAGATGTTTCTTGCCAATGTCATTTTCACAATAAGTGGACGAAGAGACACTCTCGACCCACATCAATCCACAAGAAGAGCGCGTGCTCGGTTAACGATCGTCGTTTCTGGCAGGCAGGCGCTTCTTTTCTAACTAGAGAAGAATCCTGAAGGGTTCATGGGGCCCAGAGTTTAGGCTTTAGGGTTTAGGGAGCTTAGGGTTTAGGGTTTAGGGAGTTTAGCGTTTAGGGAGTTCAGGGTTTAGCGAGTTTAGGGTTTAGGGTTTGGGAAGTTCAGGGTTTACGGGAGTTGGGTCCTTTTTGGATCTCCGGACTCCGGTTGGTTGGTTTCTCCCGTCCGGGCTCTTTTTCCTAAGCGGTACTTAAAGGGTCATGGGACTTGGTAACTACCCATAGGCCCCTAAGTAGTTCCTTTTTGGGGTTACCTTATAGGATTCTAAATATAAGCGACAAACAGGAACTACTTAGGTGCCTATGGGTAGGGCGACGAACAGGGCAACAAAAATCACAATTCTTTTAGCCGCAATTGAACGTGAGTATAACCTTACTTACTAAGTCCCTTGATCCTCCGCGTAGTGAGCGTGACCAGGACAGTGGTGCATTCATCTAGGAGCCTAAATAATTACCCGCATTATTCCTTAGAGTTCCGTATTCTACTTATACTACAAGGGGTCAAAACCCGTATTCTAACAATTGCGGCCACCAAAATAGGCAACTGACTTCAAGGCAGCGGATCCCAAGTAGAGATCGGGCTTGGATTGCACTGGGAGTTGAGGCTTAACTGTTATAGAGGCTATAAGGGGCCATTACTTCGGGGAGCATTCTCTCTAATTATTCCGAGGAGTTGAGCTAAAGGAGTACCAGCTTTTGCAACCGTGGTTCAGAGCCAGAGAAATACCAGGACTTCCCAAACCCTAAACCCTAAACCCTGATACCAGCACGCCGTCATTAAACATCGCTCAGCTATACACGTTCAAGTCAGCTTCACGGTGACAGAGCCTTCTTTCTCAGTGCTGAAGTGCGAGCTGAAAAGATGTACGCAGCAGTGCAGCAGGGTGTTGGAGCCAAGTTTTGTTGTTGCCAGACGACTCAGAGAGTTGAGAATTCAGAAGGGTCTCGCTTTAAGAGTTTAGGAGTATGGGTTTAGGGGTTTAGGGCTTAGAGTTTAAGGTTTAAAGTATCTTCACCCCTAAACCCTAAGCCCTAAATTGAGCTCCATGCATCACTCCAATCTCCCGTAATTAGGGAATGGAATATACCTTGAGTTATAATAGGCTTCGTATATTGATTGAAGTAAATTGACCCTAAACCGTAAACCCTACACCCTAGGCCCGAAACGCTAAGCCCTAAACCCTAGCCCTAAACCCTAAGCCCTACAGCCCTAAGCCCTAAATTGACCTCCATGCATCTCCCATGCCTTCTCATGGCTTCCGCTTTGCGCCGCTGGAGCGCGTTCCGGCGCTCCTGTCATCCTTCGGGGCGATCGAGCCGGAGAACGCGCGGCCGTGGCTTAAACACTAGGAGCTATTAAGGTTTGGGGTTTGGGGTTTAGGGTTTGGGGTTTAGTATTTAGGGTTTAGGGGTTTAGGGGCTTAGGCTATTAGGGGTTTAGGGGTTTAGGGTACTATAAGGCATTTATAAGGGTTTAGGCTTCTCTGGATCACGGGACTTAGTAACTTAGTAGCCAGGCCATTGAGATGGCAATCATAGCCATGGTTACGAAGCCCCAATTCATGTACTGATAGCCGCACTCACTAAGTCCCTAAACCTTAACTCCCTGGTTCTTAGTCAGGAATGGGGGAATGGGTTATTGGGACTACTATCTGGGACTTTAAGGGGCTATCATAGGGATCCATTCCCCCATTCCCTACTAAGAACCAGAGAGTTACAGCCCTCAAGCCTGGCAGAACCCTTACAGCAGACCAATAAAGCCCCATAGCTTGACTTACTACGGTTGATGATACAAATCCTGCATTACCTTAAGGACCCTAAACTATGGGAATTATGCGATATTCCTTATTATGGGTAATGTTACCTCAAGGACCCGAAACTGTGGGAATTATGGTGAAATCCTTTTTATGGGTAATGTTACCTTAAGGACCCTAAACTGCGGGAATTATGGGTATGCTCCTTAGTATGGGTAATGCTAAGGATTTTTTACCTTCAACCGTAGTATAGCGGGCCTTGAGACTTAGAAGTAGGGGTTCCTTTATAAAGGGTTCTTAAAAAGGTGATTCTAAGGGTTACTGCAAGGGGCAAACCGCAAGTCGCCTGATCGCTCGTGGGTCTTGGACTCAGGCTGTGCGGTTTAGGGTTTGGGGTTTAGGTTTTAGGGTGTAGGGTGCTCGAGTTCAGGGCACGTACCTGATGACTTCCAGGTACCTTAAACCCTCTAAACCCCTAAACCCGAAACCCTCTAATCCTCCACCCCTAACCCCTAAGCCCTCTAGCCCTCCTCCAACCCTCTAACCCTCTAACCCTCTAACCCCGAACCCTAAACCCTAAACCCTCTAACCCTCTATCCCTAAACCCTCAACCTTCTAAACCCCTAAACCTTCTACCCCTCTAACCCTCTAGCTCTGTCGCCCTCAACCCTCTAACCATAAACCCTAAACCCTCAACTCCGAGGAATCCCATGTAGGACCCCCAAGCCCGAAACCCCGGACGGTTTAGGGGCGTAGGGTTTAGGGCGGAGTTCAAGGGTTTAGGAATTAGCTGCTTGGGGGTTGGTGTAGG